GCTAACGATTTTTGGGTTCAGGAGCTGCTTGAGGCTGTGGTTGGGAGCTAGAGGGCTGAGTTAAAACCCTTATCTCGTACGTGCATAGAGAATATCCCTGTAAAGTCTCAGCCTCCTACGTTGCCTGCGTGCATAGAGAATATCCCTGCAAAGTTTCAGCCTTCTACGTTGTCTAGTTCGCGAAATCGTTTCCGCCAAGTTCGAGAACATCCCTGCAAAGTTTCAGCCTTCTACGTTGCTTGGTTCGCGAAACAGTTTTTCACCTACAAATTCCTTCAGCAAAGTTTCAGCCTTTTACGTTGCCTGGTTCGCGAAACAGTTTTTCACCTACAAATTCCTTTGGGTAAAGTTTCAGCCTTCTACGTTGCCTAGTTCGCGAAATGGTTTTTCGCCAACAAATTCCTTTGGGGGTCCATAGAGAACATCCCTGCAAAGTTTCAGCCTTCTATGTTGCCTGGTTCGCGAAACAGTTTTTCACCTACAAATTCCTTTGGGGGTCTCGTACAAAGTTTCAGCCCTCTACGTTGCCTGGTTCGCGAAACAGTTTTTCGCCTACAAATTCCTTTGGGGGTCTCGTGCACAAAGTTTCAGCCTTCTACGTTGCCTGGTTCGCGGAATCGTTTCGCGCCAACAAATTTCTTTGGGGGTCTCATTAGCGGGATCTACGTTGCCTGGTTCGCGAAACAGTTTTTCACCTACTAATTCCTTTGGGGGTCTCGTGCGCGGGGTTATACGTTGCCTGGTTCGCGAAACGATTTCCCGCCAACAAATTCCTTTGGGGGTCTCGTGCGCGGGGTTTAGGCGCGTATGGGGGAAGATCTTAAAACGGGAGGATGACACACGGGGTAGGAACATATATCCGAAGTTTCAGGCTATGGGGGAAGATCTTAAAACGGGAGGATGACACACGGGGTAGGAACATATATCCGAAGTTTCAGGTTCGCGAAACGGTTTTTCGCCAACAAATTCCTTTGGGGGTCTCGTGCGCGGGGTTTAGGCACGTACGGTTCGCGAAACAGTTTTTCAATACAAATTCCTTTGGGGGTCTCGTGCGCGGGGTTTAGGCGCGTATGGGGGAAGATCTTAAAACGGAAGGATGACACACGTGCATAGAGAATATCCCTGCAAAGTTTCAGCCTTCTACGTTGTCTAGTTCGCGAAATCGTTTCCGCCAAGTTCGAGAACATCCCTGCAAAGTTTCAGCCTTCTACGTTGCTTGGTTCGCGAAACAGTTTTTCACCTACAAATTCCTTCAGCAAAGTTTCAGCCTTTTACGTTGCCTGGTTCGCGAAACAGTTTTTCACCTACAAATTCCTTTGGGTAAAGTTTCAGCCTTCTACGTTGCCTAGTTCGCGAAATGGTTTTTCGCCAACAAATTCCTTTGGGGGTCCATAGAGAACATCCCTGCAAAGTTTCAGCCTTCTATGTTGCCTGGTTCGCGAAACAGTTTTTCACCTACAAATTCCTTTGGGGGTCTCGTACAAAGTTTCAGCCCTCTACGTTGCCTGGTTCGCGAAACAGTTTTTCGCCTACAAATTCCTTTGGGGGTCTCGTGCACAAAGTTTCAGCCTTCTACGTTGCCTGGTTCGCGGAATCGTTTCGCGCCAACAAATTTCTTTGGGGGTCTCATTAGCGGGATCTACGTTGCCTGGTTCGCGAAACAGTTTTTCACCTACTAATTCCTTTGGGGGTCTCGTGCGCGGGGTTATACGTTGCCTGGTTCGCGAAACGATTTCCCGCCAACAAATTCCTTTGGGGGTCTCGTGCGCGGGGTTTAGGCGCGTATGGGGGAAGATCTTAAAACGGGAGGATGACACACGGGGTAGGAACATATATCCGAAGTTTCAGGCTATGGGGGAAGATCTTAAAACGGGAGGATGACACACGGGGTAGGAACATATATCCGAAGTTTCAGGTTCGCGAAACGGTTTTTCGCCAACAAATTCCTTTGGGGGTCTCGTGCGCGGGGTTTAGGCACGTACGGGAAGATCTTAAAACGGGAGGATGACACACGGGGTAGGAATATATATCCGAAGTTTCAGCCCCCCCAGC